AAAAAATCCGTACTACATTTAGACTTCTTCATAGCAAAGCCACACAGTGAGAGAGCTCAGCCTGTGGGTAGGGAGCTCTGCAGTGCCTGGTGGGTGGGCTGCCTTCAACTTTGGCCTGTTGATTGGATGCCTGGGTCAGTGATGCCTTGGCCTAAGCATTATCAAGTGTTTGCCAGTTGCTATGCACTGAGTGCCCGGATTATGGTGGGAAATAAGCATATTAAGAAAAAGATTTTGCCTCAAGGATCCTTTCTAACGAAGAGCTAAGGAGAAGAATACACATTACTCAAGAACACTGAAGATCCAACTTGACGTTCATCTCCTCTGATGTCGTCCATGACTGCAGGATGGGGTGAGGCATCCCCTCCTTCATGTCCATGTGGAACTTCAAAAGTGTACCAAGGTCTTCACATGCTCTTCTCCCCTCTAGACAGGACTGTATCTCATTTTTCTTTTAATTTTGCTACCCAGTTTATTTGAGTTTCATCATTCTTTTCTATATCTGCTGCAACACAGGTAAGCACTCAGGTGGATACTGAACCAATAAAAACTAAATATCATAGGAATGTAATGCTAGAAAGCATAGCTTTGAGTGGACAGGAGAAAATGTTCATTTTAAACTTGTCTTAAAGTTACCTATAGGGGAGGCCCCATTAAATAAACACTTGGAAGTAACGGATCAGATGCTCCGGAGACAGGTTAGCACTAAAGCCAAGAAGCAAACATCACTGATGGGCCAGGAAGTGAAGAGGGTAAAGGTCTCCTGAGTATGATGGACCCAGCCAGGAGAAATGGCTTTTCTCCTCTCCTCCATTCCACTTTATCCCTGTGGGCCCTGAAAAATCTTAGTTTGACATATTTAACAAGTATTATACAGGGCTTGCTACCTGACCGGCCCACAGTAAAATTCAGGAGAATAACTAAACATCTTATTTATAAACATTCCAATCCATGTTAGTCTCAGCTGGTTAGACTGCCTTGGCCTTGTGGAGGAAATTTGGTAACTGAAGTTTCTAAAAGGCTTCATTTTCTGTCTGTCCCATTTCAAGGTCTCTCTGGTATTAACCTCAAGGATGGAGTTTGCATCAGTTTTATTATAATCCTGCCCTGGGCCAGAAAAGGGACCATGTAACACCTTGGGACTGGACAGGTTATTAGAAAACATCCATTGTCAGGAGTTGAGTGTCCCACATCAGCTGTGAACCAGGAGTGTGGATCAGGGCAAGAGCTCCAGTCCAGGGGAGGACAGATGGTTGTTCCATCCCCTCCACCTACACCTCCAAAGTCAGCCACAGGTTGCAGTAGCCCTAACTACCATGCATTCTGCATCTGTGAGAGCTAATCGTAATGGCTAGGGAAGGAAAAGGGGGCTAACACACCTCACTCCAAGTGACAGTTCCATCAAACTTTACCTATAGCTGTGATGTCAGAAATTCCCATGGAATGATAATGTCTGTCACTTCACACATAGTCCCACATTTTAGAACTTACAGTAGTGTTGTTAGGGAAGTTAAAAACACCCACGCTGATTGTGTTCAATTGGTTTTTGGATCAATGTGTGTTCATGTAGGATAAAACTGAAGTCCTTGGGCACCTATAATAGAGAATTTAAAAAACGACACTGATCTAGTTCATTAAAACACTGCCTTGAGCAGTAGAATCCTTTTGTCATATTAGCAGTTGTTTGCAGAGTGCTGTGTTTGCATTATCATGGTTATTTGACATAAGTCATAAAAGCTTTTTTTAGCCTAAATGCACAAGACTTTTGGTGACTTCTGTATTATACCAGCCATCAAGGCTTCCTATCCCAAGTCATGTTGCTGCCTTTAAGGAGCAGTAATGAGGGTGCCAAAGCACAAGAAATCATTTTTTTCAAACAGTTTGAATGCTTTTTCCAGTGCTTTAAGTCATACACAGCTCAACTCCTGTTTGTTTCACTAGCTGATGTTCCCAAGAAAAGCAGGTATTTAATGTTCCCTGTGAGTAAAGCATAAGGGAGATGGAGATAATACAGCTGTGGCTCCTAAGATCCGTGTCTTTTAGTTGGGAAATTAACACATATAAAAATATATAAGAATACGAAGGGCTCTGACATGTTCAAAATGGTTATGTAAGTCCTGTAAGATCACGGGCAGTAAGCAAAATGCATGGGAGTAGTAGTCACAGACAGTGCTCAGATAGCCTTTGGCCTATGCCAATTTAAAGAATGTTTCATTCAATGGCAGTGAAAAAAAGTACTCCAGGTGTGGAGCTTACATTTGGAGGGGCAAACAGAAGTACATGAATATATACACAGCTACCTAAAACGATGAGAGATTGATGAATGAGATGAATAAGCCCAAAAGGAATGCGGTTACTTTAGGTAAGTATGGTCCGCCAAGGAAGGCTTTTAAAGGTGAGCGGGAGCAGGCCATGAGAATTCTACAGGCATATAGTTAACCTTGACCGCCAACATCTGAACATCAGGAGATTCTAATGCAAATCAACTACTTGGTTTTCTAGGAAGAAGGGAAGAACTGGCTATGTTAGGTCCAAATTTCCATGTCCAGCTGGAGCAGAGTCATTACTCTGTCTTTCAGAGAGCCCCTCGCCCTCTCTGGCTCACCACAGTCTCCACCTCTGCTTTGCCTTACATCCATCTTCTCCATTTGCTACTACATTCCATGTTTCTCTAGGCCTTTGGGCTGTGACCTCTGCTTTGGAAGAAAATACATTAAACTTTCCTCCAACAGCTATCAGGCCAATCTCCTATGTAAACTTAGACATATACTTCTAATCTACTTTAAAAAATAATCATAGAGACTAAACATAGTAGGATAGTCATATGTGTTGGTCTCTTTTTCTCAAAGCCACACCAAAATAAAAGTAAAAGGAATAAAATGTAAACCCACAGGGTCAGCCCACAAGAGAAGGTATCAATGGATAAAAAGGTACGATAATCTGAAAGGTGGAAATTGGTTGGAATATTGATAACCAAAATCAGTGCAAAGAACATACAGCCAAAATTAATCATGTAGAACAACCTTAAAGACTCAAGGCTTGCAGACAGCAGGTAGAGAAGAAGTGAGGTACAAGACAGGATTGAAAATGAGGAAGTGGTTATAAGTTGGAGCCTCAGGAAACTTCCCCACCCTAAGCAGTCAGATGCCAACTTCTAGCCAAGGCAGGAGAATGGAAGTTTTCCATTATTCTCTGGAAAAATGGAACATGGAAAAATGGAACCATGGCTTTGGGGACAGTGGGCATGGTGGTGTGCCAGGGTGAGATGCAGGGCTGGAAATGAGTTAGGTACAAATATGCTTATTCTGCCATGGTCCTCTGTTCCCCTTTCCCTTAGAACACCAGGACCAGAGCGGGTAGGGAGGGAGTGAAACGTTTATCTGGTATGTTTGGCCATTTGGAAAAGAATATTGATGGATACGTGACAGGTCTAAAAATATGTTGTCAAAAAATATATAAATATAGATACAAAGTTAAGCAAACAGAAAAACAAGGCAGTTGTTAATTCTAGGAAAGACAAAACAAGAAGAAAGCAAATGCAATTTCAATTCACTAGCCAGCTCTGCAGTTAAAAATGTACAGTTCTAATAAAAATACTGATTATTGAGTTAACTTAAAATCTTAACTTTTGAGATGATGGAGAAAGACATGTATATATGGTAAGGAAAGTGCAGAGAGATGAAAGAGCTACACTTCATTTCATCCAAAGCAAGAATAAATGTATAAAACATAAAGAAGTCACACCTGTAATCCTAGCAGTTTGGGAGGCCAAGGCGGGCGGATCAAGAGGTCAGGAGATCAAGACCATCCTGACTAAAATGGTGAAACCCCATCTCTACTAAAAATACAAAAAATTAGCCGGGTGTGGTGGCACATGCCTGTAGTCCCAGCTACTCAGGAAGCTGAGGTAGGAGAATCGCTTGAACCCAGTAAGTGGAGGTTGCAGTGAGCCGAGATCACCCCACTGCACTCCAGCCTGGGTGACAGAGCAAGACCCCATCTCAAAAAAAAAAAAGCCACCAAAGTAAATGCATGACCAAAACATTCATATGCCTAAGTATTTGAAGACAAATTTTCTTAGGAAAAAAGGAGAGGAGAATTGAATATGTGATTGAATATAGAGGTAGAAGTGTTAAAACCGTGGACTAGGCGGTATTTAACGGGAATGGAGGATGTGGAGATGTGGCAGCCACACAGGCTGCATATGGGTTTTGGAAGTGGAAGAAGGGTTAAGTGTATTTGCTGTGAGAGATGGCAGAACTGCACTAATCCTGAATGCATTCAGGAATGGGCAGTAAGCAGAAAGGACCCAAATGTATCATCACAAAGCATGCTATCCACAGAAGCGTTTCCCCTGTCCCTTTACCCAGGCACTCTTGGGTACAGCACCAACTTTCCAACCACAGCAAATTAGCAACAGCAGTTGAAATTTTATGAAATTAGAAATAATGGTAGTGGCCATAAGCGAATGGACTAGCAGCTACAAGAAATGTCAGCTGATGGCCTGACAAGAACAAACCCCCAAAACCACAAAGCAGACATCGGAACTTGGGCAGTACATTAGTCTGAGGCCATTCAATGGGGAGCCTTCCAGATCAGTGATCTCCAACCTTCTTGGCACCAGGGATGGTTTCGTGGGAGACAATCTTTCCACGGACAGGACCTGAGTGGGGGGCAGGGGCTGGATTATTTTGGGATGAAACTGTTCCACCTCAGATCAGTAGGCATTAGTTAGATTCTCATAAGGAGTGCACAACCTAGATCCCTCACATGCACAGTTAATAATAGAGTTCACGGTCCTATGAAAATCTAGTGCCGTCGATGATCTGACAGGAGGTGGAGCTCAGGCAGTAACACTCACCTCCTGCTGTGCAATCCAGTTCCTAACAATCCACAGATGGGTACTATGGATCCATGACCTGGGGGCTGGAGACTGTATATGCATTGTCACTGATGCTGTGTAGTGTAGTGCCTCATGCTCCTAAAGAAGTTTAAGGATGTACTGAGATGAAATCTTTTATTTCCAATTTGTTAAATGAGGTATATTTTCAATTTGACATTTTCCATGAAATGATGTTTAAAGAGGCATTTAAACATTTAAAGAGGATAATCTCAAAATAATACCCCCAAAAAATGCAGTGGTTTTGTTTGGCATAAAATTATTTGGGTTACTTAGTTATCCAAAGTGTCACTTTTTCTGGAAGGTTTTTCTCTCTTGAATCTGTCTGCAGGGATGATGAAAACAAGGCAAGAAAGAAAAAAGAAGGTAATTTCCCATAGGTAAGTTCTAGTGGGGGAAAGAAGTGGCATTACTTACTGGAAGCCTTCAAAATTTATCAAGGACTGAAAGTAGATGCCTCGGATTGTGCGTTTCTGAGAGAGATGCTTCTAGCTGTTTATAACCCCTTGAGTGGGGAAGAGCCTAAAAGCAGGGAGGACTTGGAACAAGTGTTCTAGAAGCTCAGGTGCCCCATCCTAAGCTTAGGATCTGATGAGAAGCTGTGGCAATGGAAAGAGAAGGGCAGAGCACACCGAATGTGAGATGGGAAGAGTGAAAAGATGTTATTGGGGGCCAGAACCCAAAACAGTCAAACTGCCAGCTGGTGGTGATGGTGTGCTAGTCACCCAGGCTATTAGTTCTAGGATCAAAATGCTTAGTGACATTTCTGAGTGGGGCCTACTTTGGGAGGGGTTTGCTGCTGACAAAGCTGAATGGGGTCAGAATTAGGGAGAGCTGATGAGATTCAGAATATTGTCCAGAATGAGAAACAGACTACATTGCCTTCTCTGCTCCTGTCCTTCTCCACCCTGGGACTGTCAGCTGGGCAGTGCCTGTCGCTTCTTCTTGGCTGCCCCAACTCAGGATCATCCTGTGTGTGGTCAACACAACTTTTCTAAGTACATCTTTTTCTCCAAAAGTTTACAAATGAGTAACCTTACAGAAAATTGTTCATTAAACTTTTATGGAGTCTAATTGTCAAAAAAAATCTCCATTGTATAACCTAATACTCTGTGTGCGTGTGTGTGTGTGTGTGTGTGTGTGTGTGTGTGTGTGTGTCTGTGTATGTGTATGTAATTGAAACCCTCAATATTTTGCTGACATCAGTAATGGTAAATTAATAAATATATCTCAGCTATTCAAAAGAATACAGTGGCCCAAATTAATCCAGTCTTCAAAAATAATTTTCTTTTCCATTCCAATCATTTTGTTCTTCTCCCACGGACACTAATAAACTAGGAAGCCTTTGTGGTTAGGTTAGGGTAAACGTGGTTTCAAACAGACTCGAACTCTCTTTGCCAGGCTGAGTATCTCTGAGCCAGATTCTTTGCGGAGGGCTTGGTGTGAGTTAGCACATCCAGAAAGTCAGCGGTGGTTACTGTATCCAACTGAATCCCTGGTAAGTTGCTGCTTTCTAGGATAAGAACACAACAGTAACAGCACAACAATCGACCTCTTGGTGATCAATGCTCTTGAAACGCTAATAGACCTTCTTTCAAGACAATGCATAATGCAGCATTCTTAATGGTTAATGCAGCAAAAGGCAAGACTAAAGAGGGCTGGGGAAAAATTCTTTAATGTACAACTGAGTCAGCCCCTAAGGCCCAGACAAAAAATGTGACTTAAATGTATTGTTATCAAAGTATTATTTAATATTTATATAGTGCCTCAAATGGACCCTGCCCAACATCAGTGTGCCAGAGAAATAAAAGCCTGAGCCCTAAGGAGTTTATCATCTGTGTGCAAAGTCGATCTGAATTAGAACACCAAAGGAAGGAATGAGTTGAGTGCATGAGGTATGATTTGACCAAAAAATGTGCTGCAAGTGTAAAGACGCACCAGGAACAGGCACCAGGCTCCATCTGCTGGTGAGAGTGGGATTTTTACACAAATTTCCCAGAACACCTTCACCGTGATCCAAACCATACCTGACTGGTGATTTTCAAGTGCATCGAAGATCTTCCTCACAGGCCGCATGGCTGCTTCCCTGCAGACGAGCTTAATGTCTGAACCTGAGTAGCCCTCGGTCTCCTGAAACAACCACAAAGCCAACCATTGGTCAGTGGGCAGAATGCTCCTGGCCATTACATTCTTACAGGCAGGACCCAGTATCAGAAGCCCTGTGTAGATTTTGTATCTGTCACCCATGAACACCCTAAAAAGACTCCCAGATAAACATTGCTTGAGGAAGAGGCCCTGCTAGCATGTTGGGATAACCTAAGCAGCTGGGCAAGCATGGCTTTCCAACACCATCGAAATATGCTGTAAGATGCCAGTTGAAGGAACGGACTGCCCAAGTTAGCCTATCAGGGCCCCTGTGCTCAAATCCAAGGATGATCAAATTTGGTAGGTATGTTTGTTCTTGTGAATAAGTTCATACCTGCCTTTTAGGAACTTCAGAGAACATGGTGTTCAAATGTTCACCAAAAGCAGGCAACGTTTCTACAACACCCTGGGAATAGACACCAGTGATAATGGGGATAATAGTCATGTACCTGGAGCTTTTCTGTTATGTAATCATCGCAGTCATTCTTTATGGCTCATCTCCTACCCATTTTACAGATGAAGAAACTGAGGCTCAGAAAGTAAGTGACTTCTCTGAGGTCACACAGCTAACAAGCAGCAGGGCCAGGATCTGACCATAGGTTCTCTGAGTCTAAACCCTATGCTGTTTCCACTGCCTCACGTCGTTTCTCCCTCTCTGAATATTTTTAAATGACAAGGAGCTTATTATTCCATGAAGAGGCCCATTGCATTACGGGGCAGCTTGGATCTTTTCTAAGTGTCTCAAGCTCCTAGTGGCTCATGGTAAGACCTGATCTACAAGATGGCCATATGGTGGGCCTTTGACCTACACGTTTCCCTCTTCAGGGCAGCTGACCTGGCTCAGCAAACTGTACTCCAGCTCTGTGCGCAGCTCTAAGGCCCTGCTCTTGCTCACAGGGGGCAGCCAGTGGTGGATCATGGCCTGCCTGGCTTCCTGGCTGGGGAGATCGACCAGAATCCTCTTCTCCAGGCGGCGTAACATGGCACAGTCCAGCTCCCTGAAATGACACCAGGAATGGAGCTGGACAGGGCTGCAAACTTCCTGAGTAATAACTACTTTAAGAACAATTTAGCATTGCAAGAAGCAGTTCTGCATTCTAACTGTCACTCTACATCTGTGCCTGAGTGGATGGGACAATATTATTTGGAGAAAGAATTGGTGAAAGAGAAAAAGAGAAGTGAGGGAGGGAAGGAAAAATGAATGGAAGGAAGGAAGGAAAGAAAAAGAACATATCCTCGAAAACCCCTAATGAAAAGAAAGTAATTTTAGGTTACTTAATTTGGGGTACAAAACCCAACTAACAACGAGCAATCATGAGTATTCTCATTGCAGTTGTAACATGAATTATTCAATCTGATCTTGCCAGTAAGTATATTATGGCTGACAATAACTTGGGCACTCTAAGTACATTACTTCTTCCAAAACTCTGTCCTTCTGGAGTGAATGACCTCCTCATTTCATTACATTGGCGAACTTAGCACCAATGGCCCTGCCAGGGTGCCCAATGCAAATACGGCTCTTTCATACACACTTTTGCTCCTCCCCAAACTGTGAGGCCAAATTTCTGTAATTTTTTATCTCCTGGCCATTTCCTTAAACTTCTTGATATGGTTTGGCTCTGTTTCCCTACCCAAATCTCATCTTGAATTGTACTCCATGATTCCCACGTGTTGTAGGAGGGATCCAGTGGGAGATAATTTGAATCATGGGGGAGGTTTCCCCCATACTCTTCTCATGGTAGTAAATAAGTCTCACAAGATCTGATGGTTTTATCAGCGGTTTCTGCTTTTGCATCTTCCTCATTTTCTCTTGCCACCACCATGTAAGAAGTGCCGTTCACCTCCCACCATGATTCTGAGGCCTCCCCATCCATGTGGAACTGTAAGTCCAATTAATTTTTTTCTTTCTTGGGTATGTCTTCATTAGCAGTGTGAAAATGGACTAATACACTTCTTAATATAAAAATTTCAAACAAACATAGAAGTAGAATAAAACAATTGAACATCCATATACTACCATCTTGATTGAACAGCAGTTCACATTCTGCCATATCTGCTTCATATCTCTTTATCTACCTATTCTTGCTAAATTATTTCAAAGTAATTTATTTCATGAAACCTCATCCCTAAATATTTTAGCATGCATTTCCAAAGAAGGACATTTGCTTACATAGCCACAATATCATTATGACACCTGGCAAAACTGATTCTGTAATGTGTCTAGTGCTCAGTCTATATTCAGATTCTCCAATCAAGGTGGAGGGTGGGAGGAGGGAGAGGATCAGGAAAAATAACTATCGGGTACTATACTTAATACCTGGGTGATGAAATAATCTGTACAACAAACCCCCATGACACAAATTCACCTATACAACAAACCTGTACATATACCCCTGAGCTTAAATACAAGTTAAAAAAATAAAATTCTCCAACCATCCCCAAAATATCTTTCATTTTCTGACAAAATCCAGTAAATACGCATTATTTATGGTTATGTCTCTTAAATTTCTTTTAATCTAGGCCAGCTTACTTGCCCTAGACCCTTTTTGAAAACACAGGGTCAGCTGGAGAATGTCCCACATTCTGCATTTGTCTGATGCTTTCCTTGTGATATCACGTAACTGGTTTCCTCTATTCCCTGTCTAAGAGGGAGGTTAGTTCTAAAAGCTTGATGATATTCAGGGTAAATATTTTTTGGCAAGCATATTGCATAGATGATGATGTGTTTTCATATTCATCAGGATCCACATGTCTGTGTGTCTCACTGTTGGTATGGTGTTTGATTTTATAGTGGCCATGGAACTCTTCATTGTAAAGAAAAACATCTTCTCTCAGCAAGTAGTATTTTATGTACAATACTTTGGCACCATGGGAATGCCTAATTCCCTACACCCTTTCAACTAATGGTTTTAGCATCTATTAATGATCTTTGTCTGAATCAATTATTTCACTGGAGGTTGCAAATGCTGATTAAACACACAAACACAGACATACACACATACTTGGATTTTTTTTTTTTTTAGACAGGGTCTTCCTTTGTCACTCTGGCTGGAGTGCAGTGGTGCCATCTCAGCTCACTGCAACCTCCACCTCCTGGGCTCAAGCGATCCTTCTGCCTCAGCCCCCAAAGTAGCTGGAACTACAGGTGTGAGCCCTGTAGTTCCAAAAAAAATTAAAAATTTTTATATTTTTTCAGAAGCAGTTTCACCACGTTATCCAGGCTGATAACTCTTGAACTCCTGCACTCAAGCAGTCACCTACCTCAACCTCCCAAAGTGCTAGAATTACAGGTGTAAGCCACCACACCCAGCCTGGATTTTTCATTCCAAATATATTATTTGGATTTATTATGAAGTTACATAGCACTATTATGTAAAGCAGAGCTTTCCCTCATCAGCTGAGGCTATTTGGTTACTCTAAATTACCATTCCTATTATCAATAGATCATCTTGAGTGTGAGTCTGTGAATTACCTGATGTTCTAGGATAGAAATTAGGAAATTCCTGTATGTTGGCCTTAGCCTAACCACTGATAAAGAGTAACAATGAGCTGGGTGCAGTACTTCACGCCTGTAATCCCAGCCCTTGGAGAAGCTGAGGGAGGAGATTCATTGACTAAACTGGGCAACATAGTGAGACCCCATCTCTACACAATATAAATAAAATTAGCTGGGTGTGGTGATGCACGCCTATAGGCTCAGCTACTTGGGAGGCTGAGGTGGGAGAATCACCTGAGCCCAGGAGGCTGAGGCTGCAGTGAGCCGAGATCACACCACTGCACACTAGCCTGAGTCACAGAAATAAAATTTTTTTAATAAAATAAAATTTAATTTCAAAATTTTCTTTTTTTTGAAAACATCACCGGGTATTTCTGATCCAAAAAAACACTGAGAACGTCTAAACTGTCCTCCCAATTATTCTCATTCTGAATCTATGTTACAATATTTATTTTTAAATTGAAAACATACTTTCAGGGAACATATCTGAATCCTAAATCACAGCATCCAGATTTCTTTGAAGAGTGTGCCTTTTCCTTTCCTATTGTTCATCTAACCCTGAGCTGAGAATCCATAGTTCAGTGGTGCCTTACCGACAGTAACAATGACCTATTTCTTTTTGCACTTGCTTTGTTCTTTATCAGTCTCACCCTGTTGACATTCATCTCACATCAGAGACTCAGCAGCCACCTCTTGCCTTGCACAATCATTCCCCCTCTCAAGGCACATTTATATTCAAGGCACAGGGTCAAGGAAAAGAAAAAAACCATGCTTCACAGCAGCACTTTGCCTAGCACTCCAATTCAGGATGTGCTTATCTCTGCTTCAAATGCTTTCTTCCTAGTTCATACTCGGCAATAATATGCAGCCAGAAGGCAGCAAGAGTGATGCTCTTTCTCTTGATTGGTCAGCACCCACACCACACTAGTTGTTCAATATTTTGCATATCACCCTTGCATATAAGCCACAAAAATACATTGTCCTTCATACCCAAGGATGTTCCAACAGAAGGCTGTCTGTGTTACTAAGGTGGAAATAAAAATACTGTATTAGTCCATTCTCATACTGCTATGAAGAAATACCCGAAACTGGGTAATTTATGAAGGAAAGAGGTTTAACTGACTCACAGTTCCACCTGTCTGGGGAGGCCTCAAGAAACTTACAATCATGGTGGAAGGCAAAGGAGAGAAAAAGGCACTTTCTTTATTGGGTGACAGGACAGAGTGAGTGAAAGCAGGGGAAATGCTAGGCGCTTACAAAACCATCACGGTGCAGTGAGATCGCAGAACTCACTATCATGAGAACAGCATGGGGGAAACCACAATCATGATTCAATTACCTCCACCTGGCCCAGTCCTTGACACATGGGGATTATGAGGATTATAATTGAAGATGAGATTTTGGGTGGGGACGAGCAAACCATATTACACTTCATTGTTGATGAACTTTAAATTAACTAAGACTGCACTTAAATTTGGGGATAAACACAATCACCTCTGCTTCCTCCTACTAAACACCACCGAAACAGTTTTTTAATGGCATAAACCACAAAAGCAAAGAGAATTGGAGAAGAACTGATTGAACCGAAGGTTTGAAAGCATAATGATGTGGAAAAGAAACTAAGTGGAACTGAGAAGATGCTTTCCACATCAACAGTAAAGAAAGCCAGGAAACAATCTGAGTCACAGATTCCCCAGGAGACTTGGCAGTATCTTCTACTTTTAGAGGTGAGGGTGAGGGTCAGTTGAAAATACGGGGTTTGATTGCCAATTTGTATAAAAAAAGTTAGACAACAGATTTTTTCCTCCACCTCCAATAGCAGGGTAGTTGCCTCTCTCATACCCTGGCAGAGGGTAAAATGGAGGGTCTCCAGGCTGGGAAACACCAGGCTCAGTTGAAAATAGTGGACTGTATTGAAGCAATGATATACCGACTATCTCTAGACTATTAGCAGCCAAACTCTTGCCCTCCAGGCAGCAGATTGCAAGAATCGTCAGTTGGCAATCTGACCAGCCAAACAGAAAGACCTAAGGACATTGATATTGGGAGTTCCCCAACACAAACCCAGTCAAATCTCAATACATGGAGCCCACAGTTGGCAAGCCTTTCTCACATGCACAGAGCTTCCTGTGGGTTTTGTTAATCCCTTTCCCAAACATTAGGCAGCCAAGATCTACATCTATGAAACTCCTCTAACTTAAGACAGAGCCCAAAACAAATAAATGGGAGAAAATGTAAAGAATCTTGGAGAAAACAGAAATGGTTTTTTAAATTTTTAAATGAGAACATTATTACAGAAGAGCCAACAGACAATAGGAGATTTAAAAAAAAAAAAGGACACAGAAAACAGAAGGGAGGATATCAAAGAAATAATTTAAGAAAACTTTCCAGAACTCTAAGACATAATTTTCTGTATATGAAATATTAATAAAAGAAAATGCTTAACTAGTACTTACTAAGTGGCAGGCAATGTCTCAAGCATTTTACAGACATTAATTCATT